GCAGCGCAAGCAGTCGTTAATACGTTTCGCCACATAGAATAGCATAAAACAATGGCTGGTATCTGAATGAAGACGACACACCAAGAACTGGCACTCACATGTATGGAGGCATCCGATTCCCTTGGTTTGTCCCCGCCAGTAGCCTAGATGCATTGAAAGATTTCGAAGTTCGACCTGACGACACCTGGATCATGACGTTCAGTAAATCAGGTAAATCAAAACGAGTAATCAGATAACTAAATATTAGATTGATTTTCACCTCACAGTTATTCTTGCGGTTACATTTAGTTTCGACGATTCAAAACTAAGCCGTTGCCGTTATGTGTGGTGGGTACGTAAACACCTAGTTGTAGGACAACGCAACACGCTTCTAGTGAGCTAATTGCATTCTTAAACAGTTCATTTTTGTCGTTGCATTTAGGGATTTTAAATCATGCGCATGGTTGTAAGATTTGTTAAAAAAATTTCAAGCAGTGAGAGAAGAAAACAAAACATGCAAGGTGTTGCAGGGGCAAAATAATGGCACATTCGGCACCACAAACAAATGAATTGCTCACATTTGTCCAGCCACCCTAATGTTTTCAAATGGTTCGCCCCTTGGATTGATGTAAGTATGTGGTTAGTTATGTAGATTACGGGGAACTTCCACAGAGCCCGTTTTTCGTTAACTACAGAAAGCATCTGAGTTGCCTTATTTTAATGCATTGATACTGTGAGTCTGATGCCTGTTTTCTGCCACCCGATAGCGGGATGTATGTGCGCTCCGTGACTTCTTTTGTATAGCAGTATAATGGGACATTGACCTGCTGACATTGCACCTGATATACGTATCTGATAACCCGCAGATCACCTGTTAAAATATTCATTAGAGTGACAACGCATCAACGCATCCATTATAGTAATATAGCTGGAATATAAACATGTCAGGAATTTGACGATTGTTTAACATTTAAATGATTGACATTTGTATCTGATCGTCAAATGAGTATTGAGAGATATTGCTCTGGAACAGCATTAAAGGGGAGCAGAGGTGTGGCTTTTGACACTCTGTACATGACATTTGAGATCTATGAATGAATTCTGTCGATGAAAACAACTTGTATGTGCTGCGAAATGCCCTACATATTGGGTATAAAACGGGCTGTGAAGCAGACGACAAACTTCCGCTTTTCCTGGTGTCATTTCGTATCTAGAGGGCCAGTCAAATGACATCATCAGTGAACACTGATAATTGAACCCATTCATGCTAGTACACCAATCCCATAGAAATGCTACTATGAAAGACCTTGTTAACTGACTACTTAAAAGTTGAAACATGGTGAAATGTTGTGCGCATGAATGCCATAACGAT